CTATATTATCCCATAACTAGTATATATGTTCCTATAAAGTCCGGAACATGCATACAAAGAAAAATTTATGAAAACTTGTTACCCTAATGTGAGCTACCACCCATATGTAGGGGTGTCAATTTTGGGTCACGGGTCGGATTTGGGTCGGGCCCGGAACTGACCTGGGTTCAAACGGGTCGACCCTAACCCGACCCGGTTAGGTAAACATGTCAGAAATGAGAACCCGCGACCCTGCGGGTTGCCGGGTTGACCCGACCCGACCTGGGAAAATTGGTCACTCGGGGCCGGGTAGCGGTTGGGTCGCGCGGGGTCGCATCGCGGGTAGCAGCGGGGTTGCGCGGCATGGTTGCGCGGGGCGCGGGGCGGGCTGGTGTGGTCGCGCGACGGCTGAGTTGCCGGCAGTAGCGGTTAAATATTAATAAAAACTAGTTTTGGATTTTAATTTTATTTTATTGTAAAATTGATTTAGAGTTGATTGAAGGTAGTTTCAAATTTTTATGATTTTATTTGATTTATTATGAATTAATGAAAAATTAACCCTTAATGAAGATCATTAATGTCAAATCAAGGTCAAATCAAATCTTAAGGTGTATATTATCACTAAGTTCAGGGGTTTGAAGTTTCATCCCTACTGGATGTGTGTATGATTTCTTATAAATTTTTCTAAATTCACTAGACCTTGTCCTTAATTATATTTCATAGGTGTCACTAAGGTTTAAATAGGTCCCACAATTATTTCATCTAACCCTTGCATATGTATACAATCATACGACATCAATCATAGTGTCATAAATCTACAAGCAATAAAAGCAATGGATTTCCAATTATTCAAGCAAAATTATGACTTAAACATTTGGAAATCCAATTATTGAACATTCATAGATCAAATTGGCTCAATAATCTTGTAATGGGTCAAGGATATAGTATAGTATCATTCAACCAATTTTGAGTTCACTCTATTGAGTATATAGAGAGTAATTAAGGAAATTTAGAAAACACAATTCATACAATTACTCTCTAAATACTCAACACACACCATTGGATTCAATTTTTAGTGATCAAGCTATGTTTAAAGATTCCATGGAGCACTTGAACAAATATAATGGTTTTGAAATGTAATTATAGTAAATTTTCAAAGTTAAAGGTTAAATCATGACCTTTAATCTTTAAAATTAATTAAAATTAAATTAGAGATCAAATGGGGTTGAGAAAATTATGATGAATCATAAACATGTTTAAAATCATACTCAATAAATTTTAAGTCATATATTCATATATTTGCTAAGTAATTAACTAAATATTTAAAAAAACAATAATATAGTTGGAACAACCTATTAAATATATAATAATCTTATCCTAATTTAATTTTAAATAGAAGATGAGATTATTCTAAGTTCATAGCATTTTGAATCATAAAAAATGATAATAGAGCTAATAGAAATTGTTGAAGTTTTAATCCATTTTTTATAATTAAAATAGAGCTTAATTTATTTATAACACGTGGCACAATTAATGTTAATGATTGTTCCGCCAGCAATTATTAACGCTTAATGACTTTACATTGACGGTGGCTTTACATATGTCAACTTGAGATTGGCTAATCCAGACAGTGCTGATGGCACTTCTTTTAATGCATGTGTTTTCCACTTATCCGCATCAATAAACCGCAGTAGCCATTCAATCAGGCATGATATTGAATCAATAGTGAGATGTCGTTGTATAAAACTCGAAACGATGAATATCTTACGCGGCTTGAATAACGAACAAAATAATAAGATTTGTGTCGTTGATCCTTGAGATTAATGATTTAGGTCTAGAATAATTCATGCATTAACTATTTAAAATCCTAGATGATAAAGAACATCTCAAACTTGGAAAATGTTTGATCAAATCTTATGAAATTTTAAGCAGAGCTTAATTAAGAAGAACTTTTTGAGAAGTTATTTAAATAAGTAAGTCCTAAACTAGAGTTTTAGACCTCAATATGATGAATCTCAAAGCTGTTTTTCTCTTTGAAATGTCCAGGAGATTTCTTCTGAAGAAAAATAAGCTTGAGGAGGTCTGGATCACGCTCTATTGGCCTTAGATGGACTTTGAAGAGAGGACGGCCAGAATCGTGTCACCGAGAACTTGCAAACGGTAGGGTCTTACTTGGGAATCCTAGTGAGACTTACTAAGAGTTCAAACAAATGAGTGTGAATGTTTGAATGAGTGATTTTTTGTCTCTTTGGCACAATTCAAATGCCGTAGATTATTTGGATGCCTAAGACGACTTGAGGGAGTGCCTAGATATTTGACACATGTCCCTAAGAAGTTCGGAGGGCAGAGAAAGGGACTAAGCAAGGACTATGATATGTAAAGAAATGTTTTGTCTTCATATGGAAAGGGAACCAAGCACTGATTTAGGTTAATACTTGGATTAGGCTTAGTTTAGTTGATGCTTAGGAAAGTTCCAAAAGAGCTTTAAACAATAGGAGTCGATTTGCATGAAGAGGATCAAGAAGTTTAATTAATTTGATAATTTGGAGGTTTCTTGATCATTTGTTAATTGTTTGACCAATCAGGTCTAATTAACTAGAAGTGATGATTAGAACAGTTTGATGAAGATCATGAGTTGATTTGAAATTTGATTGTAGGTAACTAGGATATATGATTAATTGGGCTAGCTTGAGATAGCCCAATTAAGTCAAATTGATTAATCATTGGATTAAGGACCCAGTGATTCATGATTTGATACATGGGGCTCTTAGTGAAGTGATTTAAACATGATTGAAGTCAGGTAGGTCAGTACACTGAGGGAGGCAATGCACATACTCAGTTGACTATAATGCACGGTTGTCAATTATTTGGATGATTCTAGTTCTATTATTGTTGACTTTAGAAGGTGATTGAAGTTTGATGGAATGTTGATTTTCTCAAGGATGATTGAAGTCCATGACTATTAATTGTTCAAAGTAATTGAACACATAGGATGATTCTAGATCAATGGTTGTTGATAGATTATAAGTAATGTATTTGAATGTAGATTGATTGATTGTACAACATAATTATAAATTGGATGAATATAGATCAAGTAATGATAAGCTGAATGATTAAAAACCAAGGAGCTATAGGTCAGATGATTATAGGGTGGATTATTGTCAATCATCAGATTTACAATCAAGGATTTTGTAGTTGCTAATGACCTCATACAAAAATGAGGTCAACACATGCAATAACTGGTGTGTTAGTACTAATTATCAATGGAATTAAACATCATTATCAAATCGTTGATGTAGCTGAGAATTCACTATAGGTTGGGCTTAAATAACGAAGGAGGAAGCCCAATATAAGCATTTAGTAATGAGAGTGAAGGTGTATCAACAAGAATAACAACAAGAAGCCTTTATCCAACTATGTGGAATTGGCTACATGAATCACTTCTTTTCCATTGTGTCATACTAAAAAATAGATATTTTTATTCCTTATGCTTATTGTGAGAGGGAAGACCAAAACTAAGCTAAAAAATGGCTAAGATAGCAATGCATATTAACCTCAATGTTACAGGCATAAAACACATCCACCATACGTAACCAAGTAAAAGAAAAAAATCTTTTTAGATAGCTTTTGTGCCAAATGTTTTTATACTAAGTCCATTGAGGGAAAGCTGTTACATTATAAAACAAGCAATCCATTAAAAGAATGTTTGATATTTGCATCCCAAGAAACAATATCAACCTCGTCAATATTAATGGGGATATCCTTGATGAGGTTGATGATATAGTCTGAGTGTTGCCATCTAAATTTCAACTAAAGTTGACAATTAGCAAATACAAATGAGAGAAAGGGGGAGGGGATAAAGAAGAGAAATGTCTTGCTAAACATATTGGGGAATTGAGAAAAGAAACAATCTACAAAAAAATAAAAAGAGTTTCAGATTTTTTCCATTTGAAATTGTATAACTAAGTTTAACTCTTAATATGGAAGCAACTTCTAATAAATTCTTCGAGAAAGGTGAAAGCCTTAAAAGAAAAACTTTTTAAATTGAGTTATATTTTACTTTCCACTAGAGAAGCATATTTAAGGAGTCTCCAAATAAGAGTGCTTATATAAGGAAAGTTAAGGCCATTTATGGAGGTTAAACCTATCCCCACTTTGAAATTTAGCTTGCAAGTTCTTACCCAAGAGATAAGGTGAAATTTTCTTATGTTGATGTTGCCATGGTAGAGGAAATTGGAGTAGCAACTGTTTACCTTTTTAAAGATAGTCTTCAAGATGTGAGGAGCCCTAATCTAATAGTGATAAAGTTTTAGATTGAAAATTTTGTAAGTTGATGTTTTCTTGCAATATATTGGGATTTGGCCTTCCAAGCTTCAAACATTTGGATCGTCTTATGTAACAATGGCTCAGAATCATGTATGCACAATTATTTTGTAGAGATAATGATCCCAAGATATGAAAGATTATGTTCAAAGAAGGTGAGGTTAATAAGGAATGATAGGTTGTAGGAGTTGGCGACCATACATGAGAAAATTATGGAAGTTTTTGCATGATTGGTTGATGTAGAGGGATGTATAGCATTACAAATTCAATAGGATACTATTGAGAGTGGAAATATAGTTGGCACTTGTATGATCACAAATAAGATCATTTGCATAAAAGAAGAAAGATGCTTAGGGTTTATCAAAGGCGACATCATACGATTTATCAACAATGTTGGCATCCAATAGATTTGATAAGATATCCATCATAATGCAAAAATGTAAGGTAAGAAAGGGCAACGTTGCCTAAAGCTAGAAGCTAAATTGAAGCCTTCAAGAGATGAAAATTCTTTTTACTAATATTTTAAAATGTTCATATTTATACTATCATATATCTTTTTTAAGCCAAATTTTACATTAAAAAAAATTCTCCTATCTATTGTGAGCAAATTGACAAAAAAGTTAAAATGTCATTATTATATGAGATGATTTGTTGAAGGAACTCACTAAAATGAATGATATAAAAGCAGAGCAAACTTCATTCTTTTAGCCAATACATTTAGGATCATTTCTATAGGGTGAAGAGGTTGAGAGCTAATGAACTATAGATATTTCAGAGTATTCAAGATAAGTCTCCTCCAAAACTCCCATCTCCAACACCCCAAACCGTAAACCTCTCCAAGAACTAGGGTTTTTAGATCCCCTTCTCGCAGGAGCTTTTCCGCCATCGATGCCCAGCGTTTTCAAGCTCCTCATGATCCTCTCCACTCCTCTTCCACTCCGTCCCTCAGCTACAATCCACTTTGCCCGCCACTCCCGCCTGCCGCTCGACGTTCTTTCCTCCACAGTTGCTTCTCGTGGCCTCCTTCTCTCCGTTGTGCCCTCTTTAAAGTTTGGGTTTTCTATTAGAGCGGCGGAGCAAGTCCACACGCAGGCAATTGCCAAAGAAGGGTGCAGCGAGACAGTGACTTCATATCCTGGTCTCAAGGATTCGTATTCATGGCCGGAGTGGTCGAAGCTGACAGGTCATCTGTTGGCTAAAGGTTACTCGCGGCGTCAAGTTACTACCGGTGATCAGGATGATTCCATGTTGACGGACAAGGATTTGCCTGAGGAGTTTTTGAGGGCTGCCGAGGCTTGCTTAGACTTTGCAAGGGAACGACCTGATGTATTGAGGTGCCAAACACTATTTTTTTTTTATGATTACCGCATATCTCTTTTTTGTCCCTGTTTACTTATGTATCGTAAGTTATATTATTATATATAATTCTTCTTCTGTTGATGTTTGCAGGCTTCTTACCAAGAAGTATATAAAGGGAGTTGTAGAGAATGCTTCTCCGTTTTTGTTCAAGAATGGTGACAAGTCAGTCAGTCGCATGAGGTTGTTTTTAAGTGGCGATGCAAGTGCTGTAAGTATACAGTCGTACAGGACTAATAAGATGTTTATTAGAATGCCAAGGCTCCCGGTAATTGTGTTTATGCCACATAAAATGTTTGAGCACTGCCACATGCCGTGGATTTTAAGCTGAATTAGTATTGCAAGTAATCATGGCCCTTATATTTCTCTCATTAGCTTGTGAGATTATGTCAAATGTTGTGTTCATCCAAATTCGTCAGAATATTCAGCTTCTTTAGCTTTTCTCTAAATGTTTTGCTTTGACAAAAGTGTACATGTATTATACTCTTATGGCATGCAAATTGCATCATGTGATAATTTCATTGGTGATTTTTATAATCTAGAAAATAAAAGTGGAGTCAATATCACATATTTCTTAATGTAAAATTATTATCGCTTATAAACTTCTTTAAAGTCTACCTACGTGCCATAGAATTTGCTAGTTATTATTGACTCTTCAAATTGCATCAGTAATCATCATTGTAATGGTTTATTTATCTTTATCCAACTTTCTCTTCGATTGTGAGCTATGTTTCATGAAAATATTTGTGTAAATAGATTTAACATCTCAAGTATAATCTCAAGAAGAATGAGGATTCATAATGCTGATTCCAAATAAGCGGGAATATGGCTAATAATGTTGATGATAATGACATGTGAATCTTAACTAATATCTTTGTTTATATTATGTCATTTCTTGTGGGCTCAGGTGGATGAGTGGCTTTACTCTTAGAGACAAGATACGAAATGAGCATATACATAAAAAGGTTGGAGTAGCTCCAGTGGAAGATAAGATTAGAGAGAGTCGCCTTAGATAATTTGGTCACATAAAACGGCGGCTTTCCGATGACCCAGTTAGGGAAGTAGATGTATTGGATTTGACTTATGTTAATAAAGGTAGATGTAGACCTAAAAAGGCTTGGTTAGAAAATATTATAAATGACCTTTTTTATTATATTTAAATGAGAATTTGACTCTTAACTGGACACAATGGAGAAAAAGAATTCATGTAGCCAACCCCACATAGTGGGATAAAGGTTTTTTGTTGTTGTTGTTGTTGTTATATGTCATTTCTTGTGGTACATCTTCTATTATGAGACCTTTTGAGGTAAATATTTTACTGCATGGAATCTATCATCTAGGTTGAACGGCCTTGTTACTGTACTGTTCTATATCCATCATGGCAGTAGATAATTATTTGTGTTGGATAGCAGTTTTCCAAATGACCATTGCTTGCCACAATTTATGTTTAGCATTGCATCATCGTAAATATCATACGTAGATCCTCCTTAGTCTCTCTAAACTTCTCCATCAACCCTTTCAATAAATGAATAGCTTCCATAGTAGACCTACCCGGCATGAATCCAAATTGATTTTGAGAAACATTAGTATCACGTCGTAACTTATGCTCCATAACTCTCTTCCAAAGTTTTAAAGTATGACACATCAACTTAATTCTTCTATAATCTGCACAATCTTTTGCATCACTTTTATTCATAAAAATAGGAATCAACACACTCATTCTCCATTCATCTGACATCTTTTTAGTCTTCAAAATAATATTAAAAAGTTTAGAAAGCCAAGAAATTCCTTTATCTCCTAAGCATTTCCACACCTCTATTGAAATATCATCAGGTCCACTAATTTTTCTACACTTCATTTTCTTCAAAGCCTCTATAACTTCAGTTTTACTAATACGTCAATAAAAATAAAAATCCCTATTTTCATTTAGAGTGCTAAGGTCACTAAAGTTAATCGTATTCTCACGCTCTTCATTGAAAAGATTAGCAAAATATCTCATCCACCTTTGGTGAACAACCTCTTCTAAAAAATCACTTTTTGATCTTCATCCTTAATGCACTTCACTTGAACTAAATCCTTACTACTCCTATCTCTTTGTTTGGCTAACTTATACATATATATTCCCCCCTCTTTAGAATCTAATCTAGAGGAATCCAATTTATTAGTTATTAGATAAAATTTTGGGAGGGTATGGAACATAAGCTTAGAAAAATTATATCGGGGAACCAATTTGGTTTTGTGTCAATATTATCTACTATGGAGGTGATTTTTGTGTTAAGATAGTTATTGAAAAAATATATATAGTAATAAAATTATATTCTTATTCTTATAAGTTTTATTGAGTAAAAGCTCAAAATAGTCTCATGAATATTGATAAATGTCCAATTTAGTCCGAGAGTTTCGCATTACCCTATTTAGTCTGTCGATTATTAGAAATTGAGTCAATTTAGTCCCATAGCCTAAAATAAGAGTTAATGTTAACTTTAAAGTTAAATATGAATGGTATTTTAAGTATTACTTGTAAATATGAGATTATATTGCTTACATTGCTCTATTTTATCATTTAATAAATTATAATATATTATTAAACTAGTACATAATAAGGGTTAATAAATAGTGAAATTTTTTATATTTTTTAGAGTAAAATCTAACATTGTTCATCTTTAGCATATTTTAATAATTTTATAGAAAAGAAAATATTAAAATAAATTTTATTTTATATTAAAATATAAATATAACTTTGGAGTTAACTTTAACTCTTATTTTTGGCTATGGGATTAAATTGGCTCAATTTTTAAAAGTTGAGTGACTAAAATGGGGCAATGCAAAACTTTGGGATTAAATTAGACATTTATTTTTAAAAAGTCTATGATCAAGTCCTTAGGTTAAGATTGGATGGTTAAAGTGGATAAATGCATAATTAGTTTTGTGATTCATCTCCTTCGCCTTCCTCCCAACTCCCTTCTTTACAAATGACCAATTAGTTTTGTGATATTAAAGTAAAATAAAATTTATAACTCTATATTTTACTCAACTTTATCACATTAAATCAAACTAATTCCAATAGAAGAACATTGAACAATTGATAATATTTTTTATAGTAGATATACTTAAACACAAAAGTACAAATGACCAAAGATTGTCGATCTTTTAATGTTGAAGTTCTTTTATAACCAAACTTGAAGTAGATGGAGGCAACTAACTATATGATACATTTGTGCCTGATCTAGATGACTGACTCATTGAGCTCCTTGCACAGTGGACCTAACATTGAAACTTTGAGAGTGAATATTGTGACAGATACACAATGTCCTCTTTGAAAAGCATCCCATACAAATGAATCTCAAAACTGTGATGGAAACACCCAATAAAAAATAGTTAGTTGTCTATGTAGTAGGAACTAACCTTAATCATTGACAAATTAATCATCGACTTACAAAGTTGCTTTTACTTAGCATGATGACACAACATACCTAAGCATTTGATTGGGACGAAGAAAGAAACCTTGAGCGATGGTGCGATAGACCTAGGCAATCGATCAGGAGGAAGAAACTGTGAATGATGGTGCAATAGATCTAGGTATTCGATTGGAAGGAAGAAACCGCGAGTGTACCAAAGAACTTTGCCTAGCTCGTAAGTTAAAAGTTTTATTTAATTAAATAAAATTATTGGTTAAGTGATGAAATAAAATAAAATTTTATTTAAAATTTTTCAAATAAAAATAAAACAAGTTAAAATGCATTTTTATAAAATTATTATTATAAGTAAAAAATTGAAATATATTTTTAAAATGAAAATACATAATTTATCTATTTTACACTTAAATATATAAAATATTTCTTTCTAATTTTAAATTAACTTTGAGTAATAATTTGAATTAAACTATGCATAATGGCAACTTAGTTTTTGCGGGCTATTGCTGGCACATTCATCCGGACTTCAAATTGATTAATTCGAATCTTTCCTAATTTATTTTTTTGTCCGTTAAGAATCCCTTCCGCATCTCTATAAAAGCCCTAATCTCGGCTTTCTGATTCATCTCCTTCTCCTTCCTCCCGATTCCCTTCTCTACTCTCTCTTAACCTGCTCATGTGATTGACCTTAGATGCAGAACTCTCCCCGCTCAAAAGATCGGCTCTCGATGCAGAAGAATCTCCTGCTCACGAGATCTGCCCTCACCGCGGAAGACTCTCCCCGTTTAGGTGAACGGCTCTCGATGCTGAAGAATATCTCTCTCTCTTTTATTGGGTGTTTCCATCACAGTTTTGATATTCATTTGTATGGGATGCTTTTCAAAGAGGACGTTGTGTATCTCTCACAATATTCACTCTCAAAGTTTCAATGTTAGGTCCACTGTGCAAGGAGCTCAATGAGTCAGTCATCTAAATCAGGCGCAAATGTATCATATAGCTAGCTGCCTCCATCTACTTCAAGTTTGGTTATAAAAGAACTTCAACATTAGAAGATCGACAATCTTTGGTCATTTGTACTTTGGGGTTTAAGTTATATCTACCATAAAAATATTATCAATTGTTCAATGTTCTTCTATTGGAACTAATTTAGTGCACATCAAGGCATAACGGTGTGTGTTAACAATATGTTCATATTATTATAAATATGCATGATGGATCATCGAATAGTATGAGAAGTAATTGTTGAGTGTCCTAAGAATTTCTAATTACTGAAGATTTATAATAATGATTAACATTGATTCCATATATTTTTATATTGGTTATGGAGGTGCTTGCAAAGGATATTCCTAGTGAGGTGTCTAATTGTATACATGCTTTATACATATGATGTAGTTATAATTGGTGAGACATTCACTAAAATAAATAATAAAATTAATATTATGAAAAAATTTAGAAGTTTGTGGACTCAGCATTAGTAGAATAAAGAGTAAATATATAATATGCTATTTTAGAAGATGAGATGATGCCTAGATGTGATAAACTTAAGTTTTTTTTATCTATCTTTTAGAATTAATGAAGATATAAATGAGGATATAATTTCCTTAGGTTGAGATTGGATGGTTACAATGGATAAATGCCTTAGAAGTATTACATGATAAAATGATACCTTGGATATTTAAAAGACAATTTTTATAAAATTCCAATTAGTTTTGTGATATTGTATTTATCCAAGTATTGGACAGTGAAATGGTTGCTACTATCCAAGGTAAGTGTAGTAGAAATTAGAATGTTAGGATGGACATGATGCAAAACTAAGAAGGACAAATTAAAAAATGATTGTAGTAACATATATTAAAAATAAGATAATTGAAAATAGAATTTGGTCATATGAATATATACAACATGGTAGAAAATGCCTCCCTGATTAGATAAAATTAACTTTAGAGTAGTAGGAAGGAGGAGAGATGCTGTTCATAATGCCTTGTGATGGATTGGGTTATCACCTCATCCAATAATCAAAAGGAATGAATAAAAGTTAGGATTCCTAAAACCAACCCATATAATTGGGATAAAGCTAACGATGTTGAGTACATGTTTTTTAATGAATTTTTTTATGTGAGCCAAACCTCATTTGTAACTATGAATTCCATGAAGACGGCCTCAGTTGATGCTTATTTGATGTTTTTGAAAAATAATCCATGATATCTTTTCCTTACATAAACTACAATTAAAAAAAACTTCTTTAAGAGTGCTAAGTTATCCTGCATTTTGCACAATTGAATAAATAGTCAACATGCATGGTGAAGGACAATATATAATTGTTTAAGATAATTACATCGTGGTCATTGTACTCATACACTGCTTTTGTGATGATATCAGGCACCGGAGCCTGAAAAGGCACAAACTATTGATATCATGCGCTACTTGTTGAGTTATATGTATAAACCTTACTCTCCTTCAAATGGGAACCAGCTTAAAGATTATGAATCTGTTGAAACATCTGTGCGGAAATTGTTGCTTGAGTTATTTAATTTCAGTGGAACTGTCTGGAGATCTAAATTGACAGAACTAACCAAGAAACAACTTCCCTTGGGGAATGAGCAATTGTCAAGATCTCCAGGGCAAAGTATCGAGATGAAAAGGGGCGATTGGATTTGCCAAAAGTAAGTTTTTTATGCACCCATGAAAGTTGTTTGTGTTCTAAGTTTTGCCTTGCTAGTTGCTACTGTCAATTCATTTATCATCCTGTAAGCGTCTTTTTATCTTATTTTAATGCTTGCTTGTTCATAATTCCTTCAGAAGTTACCCTGTTCTTTTAAAATAAATATCTTCATTTCGATGAGTTTTATTTATGGCTAATGTTGGAGAGGTGCAATTCGTCCATTTTCTTTTTGCTCTTAAACTTTTGTTATTGATTTATTGGTGAAGAATATAGTTAGTCTTGGTTTGGTAATTTTGTCGTGTGATGTATTAGTTGTATCCATACATGTCAATAGTGCAAAATGACGCTCGTTGTGGTGCACAGTGAGGCGTGACACACAGGCGACACAATTTGTATGGCACGGCACGGCTCATCAAAATGGTGCGCTCTATTTGCGTCATACATGAGCAATGATGCATGAGACATTGCGCAAATAACGCACATCATTTTATTAACATGTTAGAAATTTCAAATTATAAATTATAACTAAAATTTTTAAGATTTATATATTAATATCATAGTTAATTATTAATTGATTAATAAAATATAAAAACAGTTTATCTTAAAGCTTTTGTAGGATTTAAAGCTTTTAATTTTATTATTTGGTAGGATTTAGGCTAAATTATGTTTAAATTCTATTCAATAAATTGTACCCGACAGAGCCTACTATATACCAAGGGTAAAAAGTTTGCAAATTTGATTGGTTTGAAATATTTAAAAGTTCTAGGGTTTTTTGGAAAAATAGCAAATCAATCGGAGAAGTTAAATTAATTCTTATTCAATCGTCCTTTTTAAATTAGTACACACCTATGATGAACAGACACGAATATGACATAGGCACGAGACTCATCAATTATTGAAAATATAGGACACGGACACGGGTTGGACACGGTATAATTTTTATATTTTAAAAATAATATATAACAGTTAAATAAGTATAATATTTAAAATAATTTAGAAATAATAAATCATTTTATTAGAATTTGTGCTTAAAATAATTAATATTTGGATGTCAAGAGTCAGGTGTCGATGTCATGCATCAGGTATTGAGAGTAGAGATGATAATGTTGTCGTGAGTCGGGCATTGATGTTATGCAGTAAGTATCAGTCATCAATGTCAAGAGGGTGTTTGTCGCCAATATTGAGAGAGCGTATGTTGTCGATATTAAGAAGATGTTGAACAAAGATGAGTTGTCAAGTTTTGGATGTATAAATTGCTAGCATTGAATATCAATGTCAAGACAGTGTCATACTTTGATGTTAGATTATTTTGAAATGTCAATGTTGAGATGACATCAGGCATTGTTGTGAAACCAAAGTTGCGACCTGCCAAAGGAAAGTGAAAATAAGAATGTTCGGTAAATGAGGTATTGAGTGTGGGCTATTGATTTACTGATGTGGATGGGGAGTAAGAAATTTAGTTTTTCTATTTTAAATAAATAAACATTTTAAATACAAGAAATTATATTTAAAAATTTTCATAAATATTTAAGACACAAAATTTCATAAATATTTAAGACGTTTGTCCAATTTGTATTTAATATTTTTTAATCAAACATATTTTCGACATGCCCGACAAGTGTCGGAGGCATGTTGGGTGCGTGTCATGTCGGATACTTGTCGGACACTGCATGCCTCTTTGAGGAGACGTGCCGGTGCATTATAGGTACAAGCTTAGCTTACATGTGATATTGGCCATGTTTGATATTCATATATCATATATTTAGCTTTCTCTTTAGACTTTTTCTTTTAAATTTGGCTTACTTTTTCATGCAGGAAAAAAAAATATTTGGCAAATAAATGATGTTGGGCCATTGAACCATCATTTTTTTCCTTTTTAAATTACTACATGCTTTTGTTGATCATATGATGCTGCTCAAGTTTGATATTCTTATTTCATATATTTGGCTCTCTTTAGATTATTTATTTATTTATTTAATGCAGGCATGAAAATATATTTAGCAAATTAATGATGTTGTGACTATTGACCTCTTTTTCTTTTTTCTTTTTTCATTTTGTTTACACTTGAGATAAAAATCATGTTTGGATTATCTACTTATTTCTTTTTTAACATAAAATAAAAAACATTTCTCAGTATAAAAATATAAACAAAAGCAATCACATTTCTTTTCAAGATTTTTCATGTTCTTTATTTATGATGCAATGCTGCATAGTTCTCTATATTTACTATTTTTTTATCTGTTTCATGATAAATCTCTATATTTACTGTTTTGTATTCATCTCTCAGCTGAGGTTAACAGAAAAAGCTCTCACCTAATATATCAAATTCCTTCGTATGGACTTGGTGCAATTATGATTCATTTAGATAATTTGAATAGATTTGTTATATGCTTCTATTAACATTATATTACTCTAAGTTTACCTTGAATTTGTTCGGGAATTACTAAATATGGGATTGTCGAAGTAGATTCAATCGTTAAAAAAAAAAGTCTTTTGTCTACTTCAATTCCATGATTGTATAATTCCCCGGATTGGAGATCTTTCTTTCCCCGGATTGGAGATCTTTCTTTCCGGATCTAATAGGCTCACACCAAGAAATCTTTATGTGTATACTAAAATAAGAAATGTGAATCTGAGAGAAGATAATACCTGAGAAGTGAAAGCCCTCTGCAAACGCTGTAGATCGCTACCTACTTGACTTTAGGGCTTCTATAATCTATATAGAAAGAAGAGCCCTCATTTGGCCTTTCTGAAGAGCAGATATCTACAAACATCATCAAAATAGTACCTATGCCGGTGGCACATTCCAAAATGTTGACTACCTCGTCAAACACGAACATAAGAATGTGAAAAACTTTTCTTTTTTAGAACCTTTTTCATTTCTAATCTTGCGTAATCTTCTTCAACAGTTTTTTGATTTTCTTTCTTTCCTTTCTATACTTCCATTCAAGAGTTATAGTTTTATGCTAGTTTCGCTGCTTTAGATAAATTAGATATTAATATAATTAGGCTGATCATCATTAGATACATCCAGGATATACATTGTAAACATTTTTTACCTTGGAAGCTTGGTTCTAGACATAATTTTTTTATATAATTACTTTATATTACGTCATCTGGTTCAACCCCAGTTCGACCCTCTTCTTATTCCGATTCGTTGTCCGGTCCATTTTTACAACCTTGCATTTCATTAGCATAATTTAGTATTTAATCTATAATTAATCTTACATGAGTACTAATTATGCTAAATAAATCTTTGTAAGTCTTAATTAATGCAATGTACTATTTGGGGTCATTTTTATTTTGTTTTTTAAAATATGTTTTTTAATATATTTTTATTTTTTGTTTTTACATCAACTTGCTTTTAAAAATACTCAAAATAAATTTTTTGATATTTTGAGTTTTTTATAAAACAAATAACACCACTGTCGTTTGCTGCCAATTGCCACCTACGACTATTGCTGTCTATCACCTCAAGCCATCGCCAATTGTTGTCTCCGGTCATGGCCTCTGACCACTGTCATTGCCTCATTGCCGTCACAGTAAACTGCTACAAATCATCACATAAATCAATCTATATAGTATTCAACAAAAACTTAAATATTTCGTTTTGAAAATATCAAATATTTGTTATTTCAAACCAAATTATATAAAAAAGGGCTTTAACCTAACATCATAGTTAGTAATTAATTATTATATATTCGGCTATTCGCTTTGTATTTTAAAAACTTTTTTCAATTAATTAATATATATTTAATTAGTCAAAATAAAATTTAATACGGAATAAAATGATAATATTTTGTGATTAAATCATAATAAAACTTAATAATTATTATATTTTTTAAATTAATATCTAATTAGCCATATTCGTCTAATTAGTTGAACAATCATTAAGCCATGTTTCTATGATGTGTAAACACCCTTATAGGTGATTTTTTACTTTTAGAAAACAAATAGTTTCACATACAAATACAAGAAACGAAAATATGTTGTCAAACATTGATTTTCCTTCTGAAGTGCCTGTTTCTTAAAACTAGGTGGTATTGGAGAACGTGTGAAACTTTATAGAGGTATATAAGAAAAACTATCTTAAAAATAAACATAGAAGTGAATCCGAACAGCGCATGTGTGAAATGCTATAATATTTTGGACATTGAGCTGTTCTCTTAACATTTTCACAGGTTGCAAGAATGCTTTTGCTTTACTGCAGATGCAGGGCTATATGAAATTAACTTCTGAGCTTTTCGTTCTAAATGATCTATAAGACTACCTTGTATTATTTGTGTTCCGAGGGTAATTCTTCTATTCTGTAGGTGTACTTTTATGAACTTCGCTAGGAACATGGCTTGCCTGGAATGTGGTGAGGGTCGACCTAAAAGGCACTTGACTGGTGCAGAATGGGAATGCCCTCAGTAAGACTGTATACTATGTGCTCTGTTATGTGAACTAGCTCTAGATTTTGATATGATTTGGGATTTCTTTACTTTCTCAGATGTGATTTCTTCAATTACGGGAGGAACACATCATGCCTAAGGTGTGACCACAAGCGTCCTGGAGACGAGCTGCTAAGTCCTTCCTCTGCTGCTGGTGTGGAACACACCAGAAGTTCAAATATTGAGCAAAATATCTCAGTTTCTAGGCAAGAAAGTTCCATAAGATCAGGGCCTGATGATGCTTCTGATTCAATCAGCCGTAGTTTGGATAGGATACTAGGCCGTTCATCATCAACTCCATCAGGAAATATGTCTACTTCTGGAGATAATAATACTTCAGGTTTAGGTAATTTTAGCTCCTCGCAGTCGAGGCAGAACATGGCAAAACAGAGAAGAAACCCTGACAGCGTTCCTTTCGTCCCTTTACCTCCAGATATGTTTAGGAAAGCTCAGGAATCAAACGATGGTGTGCAACAATCTTCAGACAAAGAGGTTGCTTCTTCCCGTGATTTAATTGATTCTCTGTTTAAGACCTCTGAGAACTCATTAAAGAGTGATAACACTGAAGAATCTTCAAATGCATCACTAAGGTGGTCCAAAACGGCTGCTGAACTTGAAAATGTGAAAGATCCAGCAAATGCTGTGTCTGATGATGACTTCCCAGATATCATGCCGATACGCAAAGGAGAGAACAGATTTGTAGTCAGCAAGAAGAAGGATCGGTCCTTGACTTCGCCTGCATATAAGAGGCGACTAGCCATGGAACAAGCTAATAATTACAACTACGTTCCCTTTGTACCTTTCCCTCCAGGTTATTTTGCCAAGAAAGACAACCAGCTGGCCACCGATTCCACTGAAAGCTCTGCACCTTTGGATAAGGTTGAAGCCTTAACATCATCAGAGCAATCTGGTGGTGAAAGTTCTGGGGATAGTTATAAAGCTGAATATTCTGGTATGAACTTGAAGCAGAATAATCCCAACTCATCAAACCAGCAATCTAACTCATGGAATAACAATACTTATTCATCTCAGGCGCCTATTACTTCAGCAAACTACGACACTGCAAATTCAACCAGACCATCTAATAACTCCTGGAATAACAAAAATAACTCTCATGGTGGATCAACTGCAAATCCAACTCAGTCATCAGGTAGCTCATGGAATAGTGGATCTGCTCATGTAAACAATGTCTCTGTTGGTATTTCTCAGCAATCACAGAATCGTCAAAATAGTGGCGATATTCCAAGTGGAGGTTATTCTGGGAAGAGTTTGGAAGGATCCTGTGTTAAGGAGCCGGATCCTCTGGATATGTCTGAGGAGGCAAAAGCGGAGAGATGGTTCCGCAGAGCAGCACAGATCAAGGATATTTCAGAGCTCAGCCAAATTCCTGATGAAGATTTTCCAGAAATCATGCCTATGAGGAAGGGTGTGAACAGATTTGTTGTGAGCAAGAGGAAGACCCCTCTTGAGAGGAGACTAACATCTCCACAATACAGAAGAAACTTGCCAGTTGTGAGTTCTGAACCAGAGAAGGATGCAAGCAACTGAAGGGAGCAATCAAAATCATTCCATATTTGCGGCAGCAAGCAGGATGGTAAGAGATTTACATGTTGCATGTTCTGCTTATTTTTAAAGAAGAAATTCTTCTTGAAATTTTTATTAGAAGAATGAACTATATGAAACTTTTGTTTAAAGACCATGTGGATTGTGGAATTTAGTGATGTATTTTTTATAATTTTCTAAATTTCTTTTGAATGTGGAATCATAAAAACTCTTATGTTTCATTCATTTCTTATTATGATATGACATTTGCTACATCCAAAACAAAATGACATGATCAGCACAAATATTAAGATAATATTTCAATTGAAAACTTCTGGAATTTTGAGCTTTCCTCACATCTTTTAGGTGGAGAAATACTAAGCTGGCTGAAAGTGTATACAAAAATTTCCTGAAGAACTCTTGAAATTGCATTATTGTCCTTTCCTGTACAGAGATTTGATTTCACCAAATATGCATAAAAAAGAGCAAAAAATATAATTTCAAGTTTTACAACCATTTTGGATGGGATATTCGGCCTCATATTTGCTCAGCCTAACCTTTTTCTTTCTGAGTGTTTTTGAGACTGGCAGAGTCATTATATGTTAATGTTATATGTTGATCATTATGTGTTTAATTTAGGCTTTATTTTGGACAATTTTTGTATTATTTTATAAGCAATTTTTTAGTAAAATTTTTTTTTGAAAATAAATTACTAAAAAACTTCTTTAAAAAGCAATAAGAAAACTGGTACAAATGAATCTTTAGTGTTAATATGTTGAGATGTCTTGTTATCTTTATTAAAAATAATAAAGAGTTATGTGATTGAATGTTAACGGTATGTCAATTATTAAGATGTTTGTGATTTATTGTTGAATTATTAAGATGTCAATATTATATATTAAAATATAATAATAATATTCTTAAATATCATCATATTATATTTTGATTTTTGAAATATCATATTAAAATGTTAGTGAATCTAAAGTTGATATTTTTTATAAAATAACATAACATAACATTGCACGCATTAAAAATCAAATAATTCAACAAGAATGAACAAATCAAGTGCATAACATTTACTGAATGGACAATCAAAATAGATAAACATTTCAAGTTGAGATGTTGATTGCATTACAACGTCGAAGGAGGAGACGAAGAGCGAAGAAGCTTGGACCCGTTCAGAACTCCGATCCGACAGGAACAACGTCGGTTATCACTCTCTGTTCATTGGTGTAATTAGTCTCAGTTATAAGTTATAACCAATATAACACTATAAATCATATTTAAATATAAGCATGTCAGTCCACTCTCCTACGCAGGATGTTACATTTTAATAGCTAACCCGAATTAATTATAACGTTAACAGTCAGCCTTCCATTGTTTTGTTGCTAATGTAACATTCATTTATATGAAATACAATCTGAACTGCAATATCTATAAAATATAGCAAAATCTATAAATTATCTTATAGTTTCATAAAATAATAACTTTTGTTTTATTAAATAGAAATCAATAATATTACAGTAAAAATGTTCATAAAATTTGTATCTATCGTATACAAAAGTTAGATAGTAAAAACTTGATAAATCATTATATAATGTGCTTTTTCAATTTATGAGAGAAGAAATCCGTCTACCTCAAAATCATTGAAATATAAAATGGTATTTGTGTTACTCATAATAATTAGAAGAAATTTCTTAAAAAAAATGAAGGACGAAAATGCCTGAAATCAGCTCTCCCTCCTCCCTCTCTCGATCTTTCTTCCGAAAAATTATTACGTGCGGTATCCGGAGGCCAATTAGGATGCACCATGTAATCCCTCCTTCCTTCCTCTCCCTCTCCCTCTCCCTGTCCTTCTCAAGCAAGTTGATCGGGTGTTCGGGGACATATATATATATATATATATATATATATATATATATATATATTAG